GACGCCCGCCTGTGCGCGGACCTCAAGCGCGCGCGCGAGGACAGCCGCGCGCTGCGCGACTCGCACCGCGCCGACGTCGACAAGATGGCCGCCGAGCTCCGCGCCCACTCACGCCAGGCCGCGTCCGAGGACGCCCGCCGCGCAAAGGCCGACGCGTCGGCCCGCGGGCTCTCAGATGAGACGGCCCGCTTGCACGCCGACCTCAAGGTTATAGCCGCGGAGCTTGCCACCGTGAAGGGTAAGAGGGACCGCTTGGTTAAGGAGAATAAGGCGCTGCAGGTTGTTGAAGAGAAGAATCGCAGCCTGTCGCTTGAGGTGGACCGCTTGACCGTGGCGGCGGCGGCGGCGACGAATGGTGTCGGGGGGCAGGTCGTAGGGGCGCGCGGGTTGCCGGACGGATCGCAATTTGAAAAGCGTCTTACGGAAGTGCGCCAGGAGAAGGACGCGCTGCAGAAAAAGCTCAAAGCGCATGAGGCGCACTCGACAAAGGTACGGGAGACGTACCAGAAATTGTCCCAAATGTACAACGACCTACGCGAGCACAACGCCGCACTGCAAAGTGAGGTCGATCAGATCAAAGCCAATAAGGATGAGCAAAACGAATCGGATGCGGGAGAAAGGGACGACCTCCTCTCTGAGCTAGATGAGGCACGCCGAGACATCGACGACCTGGAGGCCGACAAGGAAGCGCTGCAGTCCGACCACGACCGATTGGAATCCCAGGTCAACTCGCTGCAGGAGCGATTGAGAAACACTACCGGACATCTCGAAGATTCCCAAGCAGAGGTCGATGCACTGTACGAAGAATCCGTCGAGCTGAAGGCCCAGCGCGACATGGCCATGCAGCGAGCGCTGTCGAGAGGGAAGAGCATGGCGGCCGGTGAACAAGCCGCAAGCCGCTCGGTCGACAAAGTGGAGGAAGAACTGCGCGTTTCCCGCGAAAAGAGTGATCGCGAGCAGACCCGCCTCATGAGGAGAGTAGCGGAACTTGAACAAGAGGTGGCCGACCTGCGTGAAGACATCGAATACGAAAAGGCCGAAAAAATCAAGACCCGCGCAGAGCGCGACAACTTTAGAAACAATGCTCGCACGCTGGAACGCAAAACCTCCGTCGCTGCAAAACAATCCGACGCGATGAGCTCCTTGAAACGGCAGATCTCTACGCATCAGATGAGGCAACAAGATCACGAGTCCATGATCACTGAACTTAAGTCGGAGGTGGGGCGACTCGAGGCGGAGTTGACCGACGTCAAGGGTGCCTTCAATGACCGAAGGTCGTCCAATGCGGAGGAGCTGGGAGATGTCCTCCAAGATCTCGTCATGACCAAGCTCGCCCTTGCACAGGCCGAAGACGACAAGCTGAACCTACAGTTTTCTATCAAGGAGCGCAAAAAGTCGGAGAAGGTTACCCAGCAGCGTCTGGCCGAGCATGCTTCTCGTTTAGAGGTCGAGCTTGGAGAAGCAAATGAAGAATTGGAGAAACTGCGAAGGCAGCAACAGTTGGAAGACGCCACCGAGTTAAATGAAGTCGGAAGTGACGTTGACTACTAACTGCGTTGCGCGGACGGCCAGCACCTCGCATGACGATAGTGGCTCTCGGCAAGAAAATGTTTTGGAACAAACTAGGAACACCTTGTACTAACTGCTCAACTTTCACAATAAAACTTTTCCCCTTCCTTCTAGTGTCGGATGTTTTCAGGACTGTGCAGGCAGCAGCTAGGTTGTGTGTCACCATTCCCCCCGCCCCCCAACGCACTAATGCAGAAATTGCACGAGCGAGCAGGTGAGGTCCTCTCTTTCATAGATTTCGCAAGGAGGCCATATTCACATACTAGAGCAATGTTAAAAGAGACAACTGTGGCCCTCGGAAGCCTTCGGGGCATGGGAGAGTCGAAAAAAAAGTTTAGTTGCGAAACGGAGTGAATCATTCTCGTGAGGCTCGACTACCATGCGTCACCGTGTACCCACCCCCAGAAAAGTACAAACGTAAGAATGGGAATGAAACTAAGAGAACAATTTTGCCCAGGTCTCAGCATCAGAGTCCTTAGACAGGAAGCTTGTGGCGGCGGCGGAATCCAAATCTGCCGCCAGGAGAATTTTGTCGCAGTTGTTCCAGACATAGAATTTCTCATCCTGGTTTGTCCCTTCTCCAATGTAGATAAAGCACTGGCCACTGCAAGCAATCACCCAAGCATCAGTATCGTTAATATCAGATTCAGAGAGCTCGCCGTCTTCCTTCTCCAGCGACATGACTAAGGACCCATCCTCGTCGGAAATTTTGAACAGTTTCTTGGCACCGGAAAGGTCGACTTCCCCGGCCTCGACATCCCTGTCCGCATCCGGGGGAGGCAGCTCATCAATCTTGCCTCCCAAGAGTTCCCAAAAGGCATCGCACGTGAAGACTTCGTCACCGTCTAGAAAGATAACGTCCGGCAGACCATCTCTTTCGGCCTTGATGTCTTGCTCCACGATTTCCATTGCTCGACGACGCTCCTTAAAATCAGCGTCGGGGGCGTTGAACTGGTAAATGGTCATGCCGTTGTCAAGCAAAAATATGTCACCGCTGTTCAAGGAAGACGGATTGAGGGGAACTTGGAGGACGCGAACAGTGCCGCCGAGTGATGCCATCTGCAAAAGACGTGGTTTATACACCTCCGGTTCAACCTTGTTAAACCTTTGCAAGCCAAAAGCAGGATTCGGTAGCCAAAAAAGTGTTAGGAATAAGGCGTGCTGGAGCAAGTTGCATAGCGACAAGCAAATGAGGAATAGAAGGGCATGCAGATACGTACCCACTGTCGATTCCACCATCGAGGTAAGTGACCGAGTCGAAATAAGAATGGAACAAGGAAGACTCGCTGTATTGGACCTCGCGATGCTGGACGGGCTGCGGATTTTCGAGAGAAGAAAGAGGTGAGGTGATGTTGGGTCAGACACAAACACAAGAAACGTTAAGTTGACGACAAGCGATGAAACAAGATACCTTTTGGTTGAGCATATCATCAAGGTTAACGGTAAAGTAGGCCGCGGACCCGGACTCATCCTGCGAGCAGTCCTTTCCAATCCAGTAGTGCAGCTGCCAGTCGAGTGCGTCAGAGTCTTGCTTGCGGGTGGTGCTGAGCACGATGTAGCAGTCGCCGCTGTACAACGAGAGGTTGCCAGCCCTGGGCTCGAGCTTCTCCGGCTGGAACTTCTCGATGCGCCAGATCTCCAGGCCCGGGGCCTCGCCCGCGGCGGCGAACTCACCCTCCGACTCGGCGGCCTTCTCGCGCAGGTCCTTGTCGTCGTCCGAGCCAATGCCGGCCAGGTTGGTGAGCTTCCACTTGTTCTCGCCCGATGCGCCCGCCGACATGGACGAAAGCAGCGCCGACGCGTCGCGCGGAGCTCCCATACCGCCGCCGGACTTGTCCGCGTGCGCCTGATACATCGAGAAGAGCTTCTTGCCGATGCCCAACATTGTGGTTGTTTTTCTTCCTGGGCACTGGGGTGTTAGGGGGAGGGGGGACGGGAGTGCGCAGAGGGGGAAGGGAGGACGGGGACGGATGGTAGTAGTGGAGGCCGGGGGGGTTTCCTGGTTGAGTATCACGTCTGTGAACGGGAAAAAACGTGGAGCCTAGGTGGGGGAGAGCAATGTGTCGTGACTCATCATCGAATTAATGTTAGGAGAACGTGCATTGGTGGACCGACGTGGGGGTAAGTTAAATTTACGCAGTGCACGGATTGAAAAAATTGGATTCACTGGCGACACGTCTTCTGTCGGCAACACATCGTCCACGTACAGTACAGTACACGTATGTCTCACTCCCGATTTCGCGCCAAAACTAGGCCAGCGAGTATGAGCATCACGCATCATGCCATGATGCGGACCGGGTTCTCCGGACCGGGTTCTCCCTGCTTGTAAATAAAGTTTTTTATCATACGCGATATGCACCGTGATTTTAATACAATTCTCAATTACAGTAGGGGCAAAAGAAGCCATTGAATTCTTGAAAAACTCAAAGTATTGCAACCTATCACAGCACTCCGCCTGTCCAGCCCAAATATCCGTCAACAAGTAAACATTTACTTGCCCCGGGGTAAACATTGACCACCGGTCAACAAGTAAACATTTACTTGCCACTAGCCCTTTTTAATTAAGGATTTTCCCCTTATGAGACAAGCCCTCAAATCCATGGCTTCTGTAGATTTGAAATAACGGTAAAATGCTATTACGTGTACACGTGGCCAGGGAGACGCATAGTTGGGAATACGAGCAAAACCTCACACCACCAACTCTAGCTTTTCCAACATCATGGCAGACAACAACTTCCTCCTTCCCTTTTTGCTCCTGAAGCAAATGAGCCAAACCAGTGCTCACACAGAAATCCTGATTTGTCACGGCGTAGCTCTGTCGGGATTTCGTCGAGGGGTGGAAGAAGATTTTGAGAATGAGTCTGAAGAGGAGGAGGGACCGGGTAGGGGGAACGCCATAGGTGGGTCCAAAGCACCGTATGCAAGGCGTAAATCCGCTACTCTGTACGACAACATCCGTCACTTAGACCCAGACGTGTTGCTGTTTGAAGGTACGGTTCACCTCATGCGGGAAGATTTCGATGCTCTACATTTTCTGGTTTGCGATGCGTTGTTGGCTGCTATAGATGTCAGAGGTGACCATGAAGGGGAGGTTCGCATTCTTCGCCGCCGTCGTCTCGACACACAAGAAATGCTGTTCATGTTTCTTGATTTTATCGGAGGGGAGAATGAGGGAAGGGTTGGTGTACAGAGGATTGGCCATCGATATGGCGTCTCCGTTGGAGCAGTGTCAAACTACTTTCGGCACGTTCTCTTCGGGCTTTTTAAGAGTCTTAATTCTCTTCAGCCCAAGTTGATTCGATGGCCGGATGCAGGGGACCGCGCTGCTATGGAGGGTTTGATCATACGATTTCCAAGGTGTTTGTTTTCTATGGATGGAAACAAGAATCGGCGCTGGAGGCCAGGGCAGGACGCAGAACAAGAACGGGCATACAATGGGTACAAAAAGGCCCATGCATGGTCGGTGTTAGTGTTTTGCGACTTGTTGGGCGCTTTATTCGCGTAGAGATATCGGAAAAAGGAGCCGAAAGCGATCGGAACATGTACACCAGTTCGGACGTCTATCGCTCTTCCGACCATGTCCTTTCTCCGGGACAGCACGGGATGGCTGAGATGGGTTTCGCACGGAAGGGGGCTTTGGTAGTTCCATACAAGAAGAACGAAAGCACAGAGTGGATGTTTAGGACTTGCTACAATCGACATATCAGAAGGCATCGAATGGTCAACGAATGGGGGATAGGTTTCATCAACAACAGGTTTCGTATACTTTTAGGGCGTTGGCCGATTGAGAAAGATCTCTTTCCGATAGCGTACAACACAGCTGCTATGCTTTGTAACTGGCAGTCTGATAGGAGGGGTTTCGCACTTCAGCCCAGGTCACGCTACGAAGCAAAGCTAGCAGCACATGCCCGGATAGACTCAGATTCAGATTGAAGTAAAGTTTACTGTACGAGTTTTGACTTCCTTTCGTGTTTGACCTGTCGTCGCGCTGCGTCTTCGAGAACCCTACACTCGCTGCCTCCTCCGCGCGGCTCGCCACCACGGACAAGTCCGCCTCCTTCGCACTGCCGCTCCTGCCCACCGCGGGGTACTGATATTGGAGCCGCAGTCGAAAAAATCTATAAGCAAGCAAGACAGAAGAAGATACGGGGAGCAAATCGAAATTTGGGCAGGACCTCAAGATTAAACCGGAGCAGTTTAAAAGTTTTTATTGAAGGTGATTTGGACATTAAATTGTTGCAGGGGGGGTTGAAGGACGTGGTGGTGACGAAGCGGCCCATGCTGATCAAGGCGGACGCGAGGGTGGCGACGGCCGACGCGGAGTTTTGGAGCAGCGACGGAAAGGTGGCCGGGGTGAGCAGGGGCGCTCGAATTGAGTACTTGGTAGAGAGGACAGCGGGGACCAAGTACCGCGACGCGCGCGGGTGAAACATGATTATCCGTAGTTTCCACGGTCGTGTGCGGTGCTGGTGACGCACTTGCGTCTGTTACGGGCGCAGGAGACTCCCCGGAGATGGTGTTGTTGGAGGCGGACGCAAAGGCATGCACATCGGTGTCTGACAGGGGCACAAACAACACTGGATCCATTGTGAGAGGGGCGTCGGGAAGTGGCGGTGGAAAAGTGGTCTCTGGGTGCTGTTGTGGAAGATTGTTGCTTTGAGCGAACAGGTTGACGAGAATGCCAAACTGTTCGCTCTGACGACGTTGCAGCGTTGCACTAGCGCTTGCTGCATTCGCAATGCGTGTCTGAGCGCGGAGGTTCTGAATGTCCGCGGCCATTCGACGACGTTCTCGAGCCTCCCGCAAATCACTTCTTCGCTTTTTGTTCTTCTCGAAGGCTTCCTTCCGTTCTCTATTTCTTTTTTCCTTCTCCGCACGCGATTCCTGGGTGTGTTTGAGTGCTCTGGTCGCATCTTCATCCGTCGTCAGCATCCGTTTCGTCGCTTCTTCTTTGTAGTATAAAACAACCTGGTCCAAAACGTGTTGTGCGTCGTTTTCGACGCCTCTTGCCGCTGCTACAGGACCGTCATGTTCGGGCGAACCGGTCGCTGATGCGATGACAACCTTCTTTGCCATTTCTGAAGCTGTATTCGCGATATGGCGGACATTTTCAGGGGATATGCGATGCATATATGCCCGCCTCCAGCTCATGCCGTACTGCTGTTGCTCGGCTACAATCGCACTGTCCGAATGTGACGAGATCGCGCACTGTCTGCCACCCTCGCGCAAGTAACGTCGAGTGTCTTAAGTTTTTGAATCGGGGTACTATACACCATGAGCTGGGTTAGCACCCAAGTCTTCTCGACCTTGTTCATGACGAACCGCTGAGGTGGGCGCGAAGGGAGGCCCGGAGGCGGCGAGGGGCTGGGTGATGGAGTCACAGCGGGTGCATAGGAGCTGCTAGGATGCTGCGGTGAGGCACTGGGAGGCGCGTCGGAAGGCGCGGGAACAGATCCGATTCCATCTTCCTCGACAGCCGACATGGGAGAGTTGAAAGGGGGAAGTGGGGAACAATATCTGGAAAAGGTGCTGACGGAAGGTGATGGAAGATAAGCTAAGCTTTTAGTCAGAGCTTGATAGAGCCCCGTCTTATTTGTTCCACTGTTTTGAAAACAAGCTGGAATTCTAACATTTTTGTCGGGGTAATTAAACAGCACTCAGGCTCACTTCTTGTCCTATTTCAAAAATAAGCACGATTTTCCCTTAGTTAAAAAGGGCTACTGGGTAAACATTGACCACTCGTCTAATTTTCTAGTAAACATGTTCCCACTACTAGGAAAATCAATATGAGAATGCCATCTCCACTGCTGCATGCGCATGGATGCTCTATATTACCTTTGTACCGCACTTGATCTTCTGGATGATATAAACTGGACTGCTTTCGGTAGTGAAAATCGATACAATCTTTGGTACATCATACAAATATATGGAGCTTTAACAATTCTCATGCGTTCGATCTGTAAAGTCCAATTCTCTTCCATTGGTGAAGCTGTCACGAATTACCTCGTGCTAATGAGATTAAATTACTTAGTAATAAAGCGAAATGAGAAGGCAACATCCTGCAAACGTTAGTATACATAATGGGGCTTCAAGATAGTGAGTGTTTCTCTATGGCAAAGAGGCTTGATCGTGGCCAAATACATACTGTGCTCTCATCATGTGTTTTGAAACTCCAAAAAAGGACCCAAAACTCATCATGAGTTTTGGAAGGCCGAAAAGGGACCCAAAACTCATTATGAGTTTCGAGTTTCGAACCCCCAAAAAAAAGGTATTCGATATTCAAAATGAGGTTGACACTACATATTCCGTAAACAAGTTAACATTTGCCTGCTGCTCACTTAACATTAACCACCTCAGCAAAGGTCACATGCTAACATCGACCCTGAAAACATGTGGCTTACTCAATTCATGAGTGTAGGACCCATGAAACAGGGCATTCCATACTGGAAGTGGTAGTTTAGTCAGTCTTTCAACAGGGCTATACAGCAATGAACGCATTTTCAAAGTCCGTAGGTCGCTCGGTGATCTTCAGAAGAAATATGGGACTCAATAGGATATCACAGATAGCTTCAACACATAAGTCTCGATACCATTTTACTTTTGTGCCTACTCAGAGATCTCTATCAGAAGCATCAACATCAATACAGTTCACGGCAGAATCATTCTTTTCCAAGCATTGAACATTCTTGATATCGTTGCCACTCGTTTTAATTTTAAAGAACAACGTCTAGATAACTTTGCGCGGGAGAAGATCCTGTGTTGCTTCCTTCAGGTAACTCAGAATCTCAATTCGGGCATCAAATGCTGATAACGCATTTTCAACTTTCATTGTCAGATCGGTGAGCTTTTCCATCTACATGTGAACAAATATTACTCTCTGGCGTC